TGAAATCACGCCATGATTTGAAATCACGCCATTTTGAGATGGCTATGAATTTGTTGTGTGGTTTTCGTCTGTTTACGTTCTGCTGGACTCTGTATCATACGGATCTTAGGCAGATGTTGAAGAGAAATCGCCAAAATATTCGTCAAAGTGGACACTGAAAGTTGGAAACTTCCCTTAAAGTAGGTCTTCCGCCTGAAGGAGCCCTTAATCGTTATTCGGAAACTGTAATTAATTAAATTCGTCAATATTTTTGAGAAAAAAAAAAAAACCAACAACAACAAAGTTTTGCCAATAATACTTGCAAAATACGCCACACAATGGCTTTTTGTCTTTCATATTCCTCAAATTTTATTGGTTACTTTAAACTAACCTTAAAATCTGATTGATTATCTTGTTTTACTGCCCCATACTTATTGGCTGAGAAAAAGATGCGATTTAGAGAAAAAATAGTGCGATTCGTGAATAAATCGCATTGCTGAGAGCCAATCAGATTGCGAGGATAACCAGTGATTTCAAAATAGACTTAATAAAGAATTAAATTGAATTGAATTGAGTCGCTGCATGCTTCATAGTAACCTGAGAAAAGCGCCGGCCTTATGGGCTACTTGGCTCGCATGTAGACTTTACCTCACCCTTATTATGGCAAGTTTAGGTTATCATATGAATGCAAGTGCAATTAAGAACTTACAGTAATCGTGATATTTGAAAATTGTCTCAGGCGGGTGCAATTTGAAAGAATTTCAAATATCACGAGTAGTGTAAATCCTTACTGTGGATTAGAAATTAAAGATAAATTGGTCTGCTCTCGACTAATCACAATGAAGTAATTTGTCTTGGAGTGATATTTTTACCCCTCTCAAGTGAAAAGTCTACTTTCCTCACAAATATTCAAGACACTACCTGATTGACGAAGCTCGGAAGCTCTCGTCAACAGGGATGTGTTAATATAAACCGATATGGCCCAGCAGTTACAAAAATAACTCAAAGAAAGCTTTGAGCTGAGCCCTCCAATAGTCCGGCTGTACCATAAAAAAGTAAGACATAACTGTAAACAATTGCTTTGTCAAATTAGGTCCTACGGCGAAAGAGTGACATCGTGACTGTTTGGTATCTATAAGTCACGTTAATCTAAAAATATATATAATTTATTAATTAAAATAATAAATTAAAACGACTTCTATATCATGTCATGCGCCTATCTTGTTGTGTAACACAAGTACACGAAATAGACGGGTGTCTCACACTTCCGGCTTTTATACACTCGTCAGTAGCCTGCAGTAACGCTCCGTGGCAGATCAGTCAATGCCAGCGTTGTCTTAGGTGATTGAGAGTCGGGATTCATCTGCATGGACCACAAAATGGCGAACTCTACCTGTAGTTTGGGTATGGCTGTCTCACAGATCTTCCATTTCGAGCAGCAATGCCTCCACTCTCTCATTTACAAGTGTTACGGTCACAGTTGAAAATCTAAAACCTCACTGACTGCATCTCCATTTCTCATTTCTCATTCTCCATTTTCATACGAATTAATATAATGAGTTATTTTTCCGGAACAATAGTTTTTCTCTGAATTTTGTGTAATAAAGCTAGCTTTTGTAACGGTAATAATTCTTGGAATTGGTCACGAGCTCAGAACCAGAGAATGGTGGAAGAAAGGCCGGAAGTCTTTGTCTCGTCATTGCGTGACCGATTGGATTTCCGAGAAGGAAAAGGTTGGAAGGACATGTTTGTGCAGTCGTAGACTACGAAAACTTCGCTCTATCATTGTAAAGCTCCAGAGTTCGAATTCTAGAGAAATGGACAGTTCTACGAGGCTAATGAAATTTCATCTGTTCAACTGTGATAACACGTACAAGTTAGATTCAGTCGAAAATTTGCTACGTAATATGGAAAGCAATTATGACTTCAAGATTCTGGTTGAAAAGCGTTATTTTCGCCTCCAGCAAACTTCAGAGATGTGTGAAACCACCATACCCAAGCTGCAAATGGATTTCGCCATTTTTGTCGTTCACGCACACGAATCTCGGCTGCCCATCAACGAGGACAACGCTGGATTTGGTTACGCGAGATTCTACAGAGCATTGCTGCAAACCACAGGTAAGTCTTCGTAAGATAATGAATAAGAATAAAAAAAAAAAATGAAATAAGAGTTTTGATCAATGTTTTCTTCGTAAAATCGTTTTATTGCAAAATGGAAAACGTTTTCATTCATTGACGTTTTTCGGCTGGAGTTTCTTACAGTAAAACCAACTGAAGCGTACCCTCAATATTACAGTAAAATGAATTGATTATTTGAATTTGAAGTCGCTAGTCGTTTCAAGAATGCAATAATGAATTGATTAATGGAATATTGAACTCTCTCGCCCGTTCCAAGAATACGGAAAATCAATTCATTATTGCATTCCCGAAACGACTAGTGGGTTCCATATTCTAATAACCAATTCATTATTGCTTTCTTGAAACGATTAGAGGGTTTAATATTCAAATAAGCAATTCATTAATGTAATCTTAAGGGGTACGCTTTACTTGGTTTGTCTGTAAATATGGAATAATGCAAATTCCACATATCGAAAGGAATATACTAAAACATGAAAATTAACATCTATTGTTCCTCTTCATTCAGTTGTATATTTTGGTTCTGTATGGCGGCGGAATGAAGAGAAAACGGCTGCCATTGCTTTCGATTCACAGCAGACAACCCCATGCAATTTTTGCGTCCTATCAGTATGTATCGCACTACGGACAAATCAGTGACAGGGAGCCCCTACAACGAGCTATGATGGAAGAGTTTGAAGCAACGGAAGCAGGAGTGAAACGACTGTTAAGAAAACAAGACATCATTCTTAATTTTAGAGGTTCTAAACGGTTAAGACAAACATCATGCAGGGATAAAGTTCATCGCACAATGAGAGAAACCCGATCCGGTTTTAGGTCAGACCGAGATCGATCAGAGTCCAATTTGGTGTGTAAACACTTTCGCTTTCGCCTACGCCACCTGTCAGGTCAAAATGAAGAGTTATACTTCGTGATCTTCGTGTTTTCAGAATGTTACGGTACACGGCTGTACACGTTTAAGTAGCTAGAAAAGCAAGAGTACGTTTTGGGAGGATTAAAATTAGAGAGATCGATATAATGTAGACCCGAGCCGAAAGTGGGGGTCTACACTGAAGCCGCTCGCGCATCTCAAACTTTTGTGTTTGATTACATCAAGATATGTAAACAATGACGTACACGTACAACTAATTCTCGTATTATTGCATAATTTAAAGCCCCAAAAATGCAATGATATGTCATTCCTGTGTTTACAAAGAACGATGCAAAATGTAACATCGTAGGTAAGTAGATCAGGTGGTTAAACTTTAATATAGGATTTATTAGACTATTATTATTTCTTTCAAGGTGGCAGAGTTTTGATAGTGATTGGTGGAGACGATCAATACAAAGATGAAGACGAAGAAGAACGTACTGTGATCTCGCGTTGGGCTCGAGGGAAAGTGGCTTCACAGTTCAATGAGGAGTGCCTCGATGGAAGAAGAAGTTTCATCTTTTCATGGAACAAACAACACCGTGAGATCCACGAAGAAGCGCTGCTGCATTACTTTGATCCAAGCAAGAAAGGACAGAAGTTTGAACATCAACCAAAACCAAAACCAGTGCCGTTGCCAGAACCAGCCCTTGAAAACGATGAAGAGGTATGAAATGACACCATAAGTTAAACTTGTTGTCGCTATCATTGGTGATTTTCTTTTGACGAGAGAATGGTAGTAACTGGAAAATCATTAAATGGAATGGGCCTAAAAATGTGCTGGCAGAAAGAGAAATATTCAGAATCAGTCAGTCAGTCAGTCTGTTTGTCAATCATTCAGTTTGTTTGCCAATCAGTCAGTCAGTCGAACAGTCAGTCAGTCAGTC